ATTATTTATTTTTAGAAAATAAAATGCCTTGACAAATCACCTGAAAAATGTTATTTAAAGATAACAACCTCCCACCTCCTCCTAAAAGCTGTCACACAACTGGATTTGAACTTGAGGGGAAAATAAACAAGAAAGTGACATGAGCCCATGTGCACGATACTTTTGGAGGAGTTGCTATTTTATAATAGCATTTAGAATAGAATTTGGAAATAGAACAGCATTTAATATCAATGCTTGCTATCCCTTGTGCTGCTTGGTGACTTCTCAGGACTCGCAGAGCATGATTGCAATAAATGCAGGAAGCTCAGCACTACCCCTCTTTCCCCCTCGCTTACCTCCTACCAGCTTGGGCTGCTACAGACTCAGGGAACCAATGCATCTCACATGGCAAGAGACAAACCCAGATAATACACACAGAAAACCTACTGAAACCTCCTGCCCCATGAGCTGAGAGCGCTCGTAGAAGTTAATGCACAGCAGAACCATCACAAGAGAGGAACAGAACTGTGCAGTGAAAATGAAAAGCAGGCTGGGAGAACCATCCCTTCCACTCATCAGCATCACCTCAACCCTTTGCTTTAGAAAATAGAGTCTTAGACAACACTTCATAGTACTCACAAGATAGTCTGCCAGGTTGGATCTGTAACAAAGGCTAACTTCCCCCAAAGTAAAATAACCAAAGCTAAACATGTATCACACATCAGTCTAAAATACTAATCCAGTTTTCACTGGTCTCTTGATTTTTTTTTCCTCATTTTTCCATGACTATTTCAGTGCTTATTTGGTCACATGACGTCAGCCCAGGTAAAGCTCATCTAACAAACCCAAACCTACATGCATTTACACAAGAAGTTTTGATTTTGCTAAGCCACCACACTTGACTAAAAAGAAAAACTAAAACACCAAAAATGTATTCCAATTTTAATGTCTTTGCAGGTTACTTCTGAAATATATATTTCATGCCACCAAGTGGCATAACTTAGGTACTACAACCTCCTTAAAGAGCAGCAGGTGAAGGACGGGAAAGATCAGAAAGCTCCTTCATCTCTGAAGGCAATGAAAAGCCTTCAGTCTTCAGAAGACAGGAAAATATGAACGCTTCAAAGAATACTTCTATATAATACAGGCTTTCTATCATTAGCCTTTAATTTTCTAGTGTTTTTGTTAGCGAGTTTTATGTTACGCAAATTTTGCAATTTACATTCTACAATTCCAACTCCAGGCTCTAAAACGCTCATACTAGCCACTTGCTTATAGCCACAGTGTCCTGCTGCAGAAAGAGGGTGGAAGGGAGCAAACAGGCAAATTTCAGATTTTTCAGAGGCCACAGGAATGGCCATTCTGGGATAACACCACTGAGTCACAAGAAACAAGACAGATGAAATCCCTTGAGCGAGCGTAAATACTCCTTAGTTTCAAACCAGTTATTCCTTCCTGCCCAGTAATTTCCCTATAAGATTTATATTAAAGATTTTCCCTGAGGTTCTTGGTGTCAAGGCAAATCTATAGCCACAGCCTGTAGGACTCTAGCAGTGCTTGATTAGATAGAAAGCATAACCCAGTAAAACAGTACCCAAGGGACTAATCAAACTACTCCTGGTCATTGAAACTTACGTACAAAGCACTTTTCAGTGTGTGGAAAAAGCAGCCTATGTGCGAGCTTTCTCAAAAAAGGTTAAAAAGCTAATCATTTGCCCTTGGATGTGAATGCTTTGGAGCTTGTTAATTAAAAGGTACGGAGATATCTGTTTTTGTTTAAACTGTTACATTTATCCTCATTTGAGGAGCAGGTCTTCAAAGATGAAGAAAACAAAACACAAACTTTTATTCAGCTTATTTTTTCTTACTGTCCTTGCCTGCCAACAAAAAACATTGATTTGCAGAACAGTTTGTCAAAGCCAACACTGAATTTCAATACTCTTTTGCACTTAATGAGACAGTGGGTTACACTAGCATAATGAATATTAATTAGTGAAATAAGAAATCAAAATTTACACTGAAAATTTACACTGGAAACAGAAAAGTTTAGTAGGTTTCTAGACCAAAATGCTCTAGAAAGTCTTAAAATATTATCCCATTTGAGTCATACAGACCTGACTAAAGAACACTTGAGAAACCACAGATAACAATTGTACTGAAGTACACACTTCTTCCTGTATTATTTGTTGAAAGTCATTTCAAAACTAAATTTGCTGAAAGCATTTACTAAATAATTCTTTATGGCACAGAAGAGTTACTTTTTCTTACTTATTCACCAGCTCTTTCCTAAGAGCTTTACTATTTTGGGTGTGACTTTTTTTTTCTGCTTTAGCAGATCTGACATGCTTTGCTAACAGTCTTTTAATACACAGTTCCTACTCTCTCAGTTTGCTAACCTAATTCTGCCTTGTAAAACATTCACCTCTGTGTAGAGTTTAACAAGCTACTTTTTTTTTTTTTTCAGTATTAAAAGCTGTTTCATAATCTAAGAAAAGTACTGAACTTGCCATACCTGTTTAGCAAAAAACAATGTGTCCAGTCTTGAATCCTGAACAACAGAACCTGCTGGTTCTTCTCCAGGCTGCCATTTGAAGAGGAAAATCAACCCATGTACTGGTCTGAAAAATAAATGGGTAGGGAAAAAAAAATACCGATTTAAAATATCAAAGCCAAAAACCAATACTGTAATTTCATTGTATCCTGGTACAGTAATTGAGTTAATTATTTTTTTTCTAAACATCAGGAACTGAACTGAAACTTGGAAGAAACTTGAGTCCACCACTCAAGACTACAAAGAGGTATATCCTGCAGTATGAGCAAGCTAAGTTGTACCCTCATGAACAACACAACTAATGTTCTAATGAAAACCATAGGAAGCATATTGCAGGTATCAAATAAACCACTGCAGCACTTCTGCCACTCAGGTGCCAAAGCAGCACTTTAGCCATTCAGGTGCAACTTGTCATATGTCTTGAATCAGACCAAACTAAATAAATAAAACTCCCCTAAAAAAATCACATCAGCTGTGTCGATTGCTACAACTTCCAAAAGTTGAACTATCCAAGTGTAGAGCATCCGCACGGAGTATGGCCTAGATGAGGCAACATTTCCTTCTTAAAAAACTTACATGTGAACACGGCAACATTTAATGCTTCATGGATAGAATAGCAAGAGAATGAATACTAGCTAATTAGGACAGAGTCATTCCATACGTTGTCCATCACTGTCAGTTACAACAAGAATATTTGACTTCTCACACACACGTATTGAAGTGGTTGTGCAGGATAGACAGGTTACAAGCGTGCATAACTACGCTAAGCAGTTTAAGGGAACAGATGCAATGCTTTATGCAAGAAAGGCTAAAGGTAAAGCAAATTAAAGCAAAAAGAAAAAGGAAAGTAATTTGTCAAAGGATATAGCACAAGCCAAGGGCAAAACTATTAGAAACCTATCTAGCTGCTATCTAGCTGCTACTGCAATCACTTCCCATGCACAGAGAAGCTGGTTTATGTACAAAGTCATTGATAAAAGGTCATTTAATTGCCAAGCACTGGATTAATCAATACCTTAACAAACCTCCTCAGAGACTGAAAATATGTTACTGTAACTATAGCACATATTTTATGTGAATATAAACAATTTTTTAAAATGTAGATCTTAAAAGAAGGTGGCTTACTTCAATTTTTCAAAGTTCTCTGGCTCCAAACTCCATATTTCTTCAACCTGCGCTCCCCTGCAACCTAGACGAGGAGAGATACACATTTCCACAAGCAGCCCGCTTAAGAGAAGGGCACC